AAAGAAAGTGAATAGGGTGGTTTTTGATTTCACATCGACTTTAATGAAGGGTCTAATCACTGCTGCCCGGTGGCTCATTTTCGTAGCCAGTGATTGATTCCAGAATAACAGACCATTTTTCAAAGTAATTTTGAAAGTTTCTGTCAGTTACGTGCTGAGCTAGTGCTCTTGGTTTTGCTACCGCTGCTCTTATTACTGGCCTCCAGAGGGCCACGCTATACGATTCACAGCTGAAATATTCAGCATTGCAGAGAAAAGCTGCTGACTGGCAATCAGGCCTGGAGAACTCTACTTCTAATAAGGGATGCCATTACCCAAGGTGTCTGCTGTCTGTTCAAGAAAATAATTAGTTTGCGGTGCAAAACTCAATAAATCTGAAGATTAAAAAAAATGTTAGTTACTGTGTAAAGCTGCATATGTGGAGAAAGTGCTTTGTAGTAAAAACCCTGAAGAAAAGCTGTCGATGATGTTACTGTGGTGAAACATTAGCAACTCCTCTGTACTCTTCAAAGCTTTGCTTATCTTAGTTTAAAGACATAAAAATGGACTTTATATGCTTTATATATTTGATACATTCCTGGTTTTACTGTGCACATATTTCTAAAGTAAAAAAAATAAATCATAATGTTTCATAAAACGATATTAATGTTCCAGATGTGAACAGACAAACCAGTCTGACTCATCCACTTGTGAATAAGTGGTTCTCATCTGGTTTTTCTTTAGGACCCAGATTTTACATTGGACAACAAGTGATGACCCAAAAATTGCCTTAAATTCAAACATTAAAATATATTAAAATAAAAACCTTGGATAGATGAATGCATTTCATGCAACCTAGATTTTACAGTGTGATTTGTTTGAACGAGCATTTGACATCAGCAACCTAAAAGATATGTTGTGTTTTCTCATAAAAGTTTATAAGCCTGTTTATTTTGCGATCATAACCATGCACATTAATATGGCTAATTAATTGCGTTATCTTTACTATAGTTCCTTGACCCCATCAGTAATGACTTTAATTGTAATGTTTGCTAATATTTTTATTCAAAACAGTGATTTCTTGGTTTAAAAATATAATTGTGGTAAAACAGAAAAAAAAACTTCATTTCGGTTGTTGAAATTTTATTTTAACCACTGTTTTGGTTTTGTTTTGTTTTGTTTGAGAGTTTTTTTAGTTAATTTTTTAAAATATGTTTTAATGTTGCCCTACACATGATATGCGGGGAGAAAAAACAAGATATTGTGAACTAAAGAACAAATTAGTACAACATGAACATGATTTAACTAAAACATTAAAGGGAATTAGTATGAAGTGGCCTCGCTTGAATTAAAACTAGGGAACAAATGAGTACAAACAAAATAGTACAACATGGCCACAATTATACTAAAACTTGAGAACAAATCGTTAGAACAAGCCCTTGATTTAATTAAAACCGGGGAGTGAGTTAGTACAAATGTATCAGTACACCTGGGCCATGATTTAAAGGGGTCATATGATGCGATTTCAAGTTTTCCTTTCTCTTTGGAGTGTTACAAGCTGTTTGTGAATAGATAAGATCCCTAAAGTTGCAAAGACTAAAATCTCAAACCCAAAGAGATATTCTTTATAAAAGTTAAGACTCGTCCACGCCCTCCTAAAACGCCTCGTTTAAACACGCCCCACATATCTACCTCACTATGTGAAAATATTTGCATAATGCATGTTTTTGTCTCGTCGCTCCGGCCGGACAGGGCATGAACAGTATGGTGAGGGGCGTAACATTTCCGTCTCACGCTTGAGGTATTCGGCCAATCACAATGCATTGGATAGCTGGCCAATCAGAGCACACCTCGCTTTTCAGACCGATGAGCTTTGTAAAAATCGACGCGTTTCAGAAAGGCGGGGCATAGAGGAGAAACAATAATGTACAGTATGTGGAAAATAATGTGTTTTTGAACCTTAAACCGCATAAACACATTTCATTACACCAAATACACCAAATAATGTTCTTTTTTAGCAACGTCATATGACCCCTTTAACTAAAACCTGGGAGGGAGTCATTACAAAGTAGCCTCGATTGAACTAAAACTTGGGAACAGATTAGTACAACATGGTAGGAATGCAACAATTCACTTAACTCACGATGCAATACAATTTACAATAGTGATTTCACAATACTTTTTTTTTTTACAAAACGAGATTTAAAGGGGTCATATGATGTTGCTATAAAGAACATTATTTTGTGTATTTGGTGTAATGAAATTTGTTTATGCGGTTTAAGGTTCAAAAAACACATTATTTTCCACATACTGTACATTATTG